ACTTGGTAGGAATAGAAGTTGGTGCAGCCACTATGGAAAACAATATGGAGATTCCTCACAAAAGTACCAATAGAACTAACTGTATGATCCAGCAATTCCACTTCTGGGTATTTATCTAAAGAACACAAAAACACTAATTTGAAAAGACATAGGCACCCCTGTGTTTATCACAGCATAAGTTACAATAGCCAAGATCTAGAAACAACCTAAGTGGCCATTGATGGATGAATGGGCAAAGAACGTAAGGCATATATATACACACACGACAGAATGTTACTCAGAGTAGCCACAAAAAAAGTAGGAAATCTTGCCATTTGCAACAACATGGATGTCTCTCAAGGGTTTCATACCAAGTGAAATAAGTCAGATGAAGAAAGACAAATACCATATGATCTCACCTATATGGAGAATCTAAAAAACTTAAGACAAATCAACAAACAAAACAAAAACAAACTCATGGATACAGAGAACAGATTAGCGGTTACCAGAGCGGGGAGGGAGAAGGGGGAGGGCAGAATGGGTGGAGGGGCTCATTTGCACGGTGACGGACAGTAACTAGGCTTACAGTGGTGATCACTTTGTGGTGTATACAAATACCAAATTATAATGTTATATACCAATTTTATGTCAATAAAAACAAAACATGTAAATTTAGGCTGAAATGAAACATGAGCTCGCAAAGGGTTTAAACAAAACACTATAACTTTTATAAAAGATAAAAGGTTTATAAAAAATAATGAAAATCATAAAGTGTTAGGGAAGTGGGTATGTTTTAGAGTGTATCCTTAATGTCTGGTGTTGACCTTGGGTAGAGCAGTGCCATTTTTTTTTTTTTAAGATTTTATTTATTTGAGATAGAGCGAGAGAGAGAGAGAGAGCAAAAGCACGGGGAGCAGGAGAGGGAGAAGCGGGCTCCCCGCCGAGCAGGGAACCCGATGCGGGGCTCGATCCCAGGACCCTGGGACCATGACCTGAGCTGAAGGCAGACGCTTCACTGATGGAGCCACCCAGCTGCCCCAGGGCAGTCCCATTTTCCTCCAGAGTTTCTCCAGCTCTGCTTGACAGAATTTAGGACTGTGTAGACCGTGGGTTCTCATTCATGCAGGCATTTCTATTGCACGTGTTGGGGGAGCTCTCCTCTCCAGCTCTTCATACTGGGAATGTGGGGCTGGGAGCCTATGTGAATAACTATGGAAACACTCCCAATTGTGACTGAGGACCTTTTAAATTGAGGTTGCCAGCTCGCTCTTACAAGGAGCAGGTAAGAGCCATAGGGAGCTTTCTATATTCATGGAACGTCAAAAAGAAGTGAAATTGAGCATGTAAGCACCATCAGGAGCTTTCCATAATCATGGTGCCTCAGAAAGAAATGGAATCCTGGAACTCCAGTTGAGTAAATTAAAAACTAACCTTTTGCCGCTGCTGAGTGATTACCACAAATCCAGATCTTTCTCTGAAGCAAGACACTGATGACTGGACGTACCTTGGGGTTGTGGAGAAAGCTGTTAGGCTGTGGTGTTTTCTAGCTTTTAATATTTAATTGAGCTGCTTAATCTCAGAATATGAATATCAGGGGTGTCTGGGTGGCTCAGTGGGTTGAGCGCCCGACTCTTGATTTCGGCTCAGGTCATGATCTCAGGGTCGTGAGATCGAGCCCTGTTTTGGGCTCTGTGCTGAGCATGGAGCCTGCTTGGGATTCTATCTCTCTCTGCCCCTCCCCCCCCGAAATAAATAAATAAATAAATCTTTTTAAGAAAAGAATATGCATAACAGTTGTTGCTTTTGAATAGGCTTGGTTCAATATTGGTGTACTTGTTGATTTTAAAATGGGATAGACTGAAAAGTATGATACTAACTTGTTGCTGTGTTTCTGCTCTCCAGGAAATTGTGAATTGAGCTATAAGTGAACAAGTTACTGAACTAAGCATTATGAATTTTACAACCCAAATATTTAAGGTAATTATATAGACACATGATTTTAAAACATTCTCATTTTGTTTTGTCTCCTTTTTTTTTTTTTTAAAAAGCACTGCCAGTGAAAGATACAAAAGAAAAACCTGAACAACAGATCAGAACAAAAGAGACTGACAAGTTACCTAGCAGTACTGAACCTCGACAGCAACAAAGTGCCTTATTTGCTAGAGGAAATAGGAAAGCAGTCAAAAGTCCTCAAAGATCATCAAGTAAAATAAAAGAGAACAAGCATCCGTTTGCCCTTTATGGGTGGGGAGAAAAACAGACGGATACAGGAAGCCAAAAAACTCACAACGTCTGTGCTTCTGCTCCGGTGCATGAGGTGGGTTCATGTGCACCAGCTTCTCTGCCTGGTTGGAGGGAGGATGGGAGTTGGGCTATGTTCCTGGGGAACCTGTCCTGTGTTCACTGCGATGCTTGGGGGTCATGGTAGGTCTTAGGGGATGGCGGGGGATGGGGGGAGGGCAAGGAAAGCCCAGACCTGGGCATCTGATTGGCAAACAGGAGTCTGGGTGTTAGCTTCCCGGAGATCGAGGGGTTTTGCTGGGAGTTAGCTGGTATCTGGAAGGTTTACCAATATGGAGCCAGGTGAAGAAGTGGCTGGAATCAGGGTTTTCAGGTTGCTGGGAGGCCGGTGGGTCAGAGGAGGAGGAGCACAACCAGGGCTTGTGGCGGCCCATCTAGATTTGCCACGGGGCTCTGGAGAGGTTTCCAGTTCCTTTGGTTTTGATAACGGGTATTCCTTGACTCCTTTGTTTTCTTTTGTTAGATGGCTTCTCCTATAGTTCTTGGCATCTACTGTAGACTCCCTTTTGCTCTTTGCGTTAAATATGGATGCTTGTGTTTTCCCCTGCTCATCCATATCCGGTGCCTTTTGCTCCTTGGAGCCTTGGTTGTCCTCTTACTTGGTCCTGAGAACGTGTCTGACAAGAGGTCTTCATGTGTGGAGGCCCAAAGCAGTTATGTATGTTAGTGTTAATGCAGCTGCTACAGCCTAAAGCAAAGAACGAATGAAAAGCAGAAAGTACGGTTTGAATTCTGATGAAATACCATAATCAGATTTTTACTGAACAGACTTCTGAACGAGCCCTAGGAGATGGTGTTTTTTGGAGTGATATTTGAGACAATGAAGCTGTGGTTTAACAAAAGACTCTGGCAATTCCGTGGGATTAAGTTTAAGAGAGTTTATCTGTAGTACGGAACGTTTTAAGTGGTAAAAATCCCTTCAGACTTTGTTTTTTGTTTTGTTTAGTATACTGTGGTAGAACATTTAAAGTCCTTTAATGGAATACTTATCCAGGTTGATGCTAAGCTTTTTCAATAATTTTCCAGAGCCTATTTCTAGAGGCACATTGCAAATTGGTTGCTTATCATTTCTATCTACAATTCAGTGCAGTGGACGTTTTTGGTGGTTCAGTGTCTTGGTCACTGACGGTGGGCAAGGGGATGGCTTTTGGGGAGAAGCAAACCAACAGGGCTGGGCTTGCCTCTGCCCTGCTTCAGGTGACCTGCGTGTGGCTTCATTGCAGATGAATTTCCATTCTTGGAAACTGTTACAAAAGCCACGGAACTTACTATGCATTTATTTTGGAAATAATAATTTTTTATTTTTGAATAACTTAGATTCATGAATCAGCATTACGAGCCAAGAACAGAAGGCAGGTGGAAAAAAGGAAACTGATGGCTCAGAGGCAGCGTGCTCACTCCGTAGAGGTGGAGAAAAACAGAAGGATAAAGCCTTCCCCCTCCGAGAACCCGTGGATGACAGAATATATGAGATGCTACTCAGCACGAGCCTAAAGGCAGAAACGGTTGCTGGGACAGCCTCTTCGAAAAAGTGTAAATGAAAGAAAGAAGAAACAGAACAAAAGAAAAACCATCTAAAGACAACAGACACAGGTTTAAGAAACCAGTGGACGACGCAAGGTTTTTCGTGGGGAATTTCCTAAAGACTGCTCTATTTCGATAGATCCTGGTCACCTACCTCAGCTGTAGGGCGACAGTTGAAGCCATAGACATTTGGTTATTTCTGAAGCTAATTCCCTAACTATTTGATATTCTTATAAGGGTTTTGTTTTAAAGCATCTTAATCTTTTCAGACACCGACACCGAATGCCTTTAAATGGCTACAGATGCTTAACACAGTATTTTTGTCAGATTAGCTGGAGCCTGTTTTCACCCTGTTCTCATCACTTTCCAGATTCCATAGCCCGTAAGGTCATTCCGACTTGCAGCTTTAGACCCATTTTCCTTTTGTGGAGTTTTCTTTGTGAAAGAATAGCTTGTCAACTGAGTTTTCAACACTAATATTGACTCCTTGTGTAGTGAAACCAGAACTTACTTGTGTTTCAGTTTCGGGACCACGTCACAGAGACTGTGATATTTAAGAATTGTCTGTGTTGGGGGAGGGTTCTCTTTTCTCTTTAGGATGTCACTGAGGCACTTATTATCTCATAGTTTAATAGATCGAATGCATTCCAATGAATGAAGTGCCAGTGCTGTGTCTTTAGAGTAGTATTGAAACTTTTTTTTATTATTATTGCAACTTTTTTTTTTTTTTTTAAACACATAACTGGGAATCAGTTCCTTGCCGCAGTGTGGCCTTTCGGCACATATGCACTGTGGGCTTTTGCCTCTTCTAGAATAGTTGGCAATGACATTTAGAACTTACAGTGTGAAATTTCATTTAATTATGTTGAGATTGTCTTGATCACTGGGGACAGGGGGCAGATATTAAGGTACAGTCGGAGATGTGGCGTACCCCTCCTTTCTGCACTTTCTCCTCTACAGACTCATTCATAACGAAGCCTCGACTCTGTACATTATTCAGACTTCTGGCTGAAACGCGTGACTCCCAGCCAGTAGATGTGACAGAGAACTTACAGTGGGAGAATAGTAGTGTGTCAGGGCACAGTTGTGAGTGTGTAAGCCAAGTGCTCCTTCCCTGGTACATTTGCTCTTGGGGTAGAAGAATGGTTTTGAGAAGCACTGGTTTCTGTCCAGCAGCAGAGACAGAAGTCCACGGGAAGGACGAGCGCCAAGGCCTCTCTAAGCGGGGGAGGGGTCCTTGCCGAGGCGGGGGGTCACCTGGAGACGGGCGAATAAAATTTGCCATTAGATGTGAGGTTGAACATTTCCTTGATATTTTTACTCTGTATCTTTGAAGGATTATGGTCAATTTTTACTTTTTTTTTTTTAAGTAGGCTCCACCCCCAACATGGGGCTTGAACTCATGACCCTCAGAGCAAGAGTTGCATGCTGTACTGACTGAGCCAGCCAGGCGCCCCTATTGTCAATTTTTAGAACACAAATATGTTTTATTCCACATAAAGTCTTCACACAGTGTCATCTTACAACTGTACTGAGCTTTGACAACTCACTTAAGAATCATGAGCTTTAAAAAAAAAACAAACTTTTTAAATATTTGCATTGTTTTGAAGTGAATTCTTTTACGTGGAGAGCTCTCCTAATCATTGAGATGTATATTTAACAGGAAGTTCTATATGTTGGTCCAAACAACCTTGCTAATAATTCTGGTGAATGTTGCTGTAATTATTATTAAAGTCCTTAAACACTGCAGGTACCTAAAGATCCAGTTAATGTGGCATTGTGATGGTGTAACTGATTGTAAAAACTGTTCCTTTCTAACCACTTCTTGCATGTTTGGTTTTAGCCATGAAGCTCAAGTGTTCCTGTTGCACCGGACAATCTTAGGGAAGCTAGCCTTGGGAGTAGCTCAGGTCCCACACTGACGGGCTGCCTTAGAAACCCAACTTCCTCAGGCTTTGACCAAGCCAGACTCTCTCCTTTAGAGAACAGACTCGTATTTAATGTGCTTACTACTGAAAAGTCCAGATAGAGATAAAACCTAGAAGGGAATATTGGCCAATTGTCCCCCTTTTTAAGTAGAGGACAAATGAACAAGCTTTTTAAAGTACTTTTAATGTGCATGAACAATGAATAAATTAATCTGAATTAATTGTGAGTGCCCATCCCATGCCCGAGTCATTAGTTGGTTAGGGTGTCTTTACTTTTTAGGGGTGGAAATTACCCTTTGAGCCCATGATGTTTTTCAAGTGGTAACAATTTGATGCTCTTACTTTTTCCTTCTCACTCTAGAAACAAATGTATTTGTAACTATGTTCCTAAATCGTGGGACAAGTTGGAAGACAGGAAGATAGTTTAAAATTACCTTTCGTGTTGAAAAGTTTGAAACTGAGAATCCAGGGACACTTAGAAAGATAGAACAAAATAATGGCTACATAAGACTCTCTCTTTTAAATTTTGGTTTTAAAATTAAAACAAAACCGTTGGCCATAAACATGTTTTCTGTGTTACTTTTATCAAAAGCAGTAATAGAATATTGAATAACATCTAGCACTCTGCTGGGCCAAGGTGAATGAGAAGTAAATAGGAATCTATTCTTTCTTTTTCTTTCTTTTAAAACCTAAAAGGCTGCTCTTATTTAGGAGGTATCAAAATACTTTGGTACTTCTGGTTTTATACATACATATATATATATGTACTCCTCTACCACCATGACATTCTAAGCACACATATACATTTTTTAAAGTTTACTAAACATATAGTAGGGTGTAGGTTATCTTAATTGCTCATGATGTAGTAGGCACATATTTATGGCACTTCACATGTAATAGCTTTGTCATTGTTTAATTAAATAGAAATTGCTAATAACTTGAAAGGTGTGTATGCGAGGTCACTCCAACTTGGTCAGCTAAATTGCATGAAAGGTGTCTGAGTTGTTAGAAGTCACTTTCCAGAACAGAATTCTGTGCTATTGGCAGGGTTTAAAAAAATCTGCAGTGATTCCCCTCCTTTTAACTCGAAATGCTGTACTGAGCATAAACTTTAAAAAGGGAATGTTATAGTATTTGGAATTTAAAATGTTTAAAAGCATTATTGGCAAAGAGGGAGAGAGGCAAAGCATATGTTGGAAGTGAAAATTTTTCTTGTTGACTGCTTCAGTAAAAAAATAGTTTCGTGGATATTTTTACCCTGGACTAGATTAAAAATGGTGCTAATGTTTATTTATCTTGATTCTGTATTTGTTTTGATATTAAAATGCTAATGCCTGACTCATAAGTCCTTACTATAGTCTGGTGATAAGTTACTTAATATTTAAAAAGGGATCCTAAAAATGTGACCTGATCTTTTCAAAATGTTTGCATTTGAAATGGATTTTTATACAACAGAATGAGTAGGGAGTCATTCGGTGTAAGTATATGCTTAATACCAAAGTATATGCAAGGAACTATGTCTAGATTATTGGCCCAGATTTGCTCCCTTCAAGCCTCCTAGTGTGAGGTAGAAATAAGTTGCTTCTTAAATACTTATTTCCATTTTGGAAGGACACCTGCATGAAGACATTAGAAGCCTCTTTTTGGATTTCTTTTATAATTAGCAAAACTGTACTTAAGAACAGTCTCCCCATGTTGTTGTATGTTTGAGTACGGACTTCACTTTAACATTCTGAAGGAACAAAAGCTGGGCATCTGTAATCACAAAGCTCAGGCAATGAGAATTTTGGGTTGTATTTTCTAAGAACTATGTATTGCTTTTAGCTTATATTTAATATTGCAATTACTTGGAAAATGTGAATAAAGTTAATATTGCAGGCTAAAATTTCTCTTTTGTGGGAAATAATTCTGACTAGTACATCAATGGTTGAAGAAAATGTATGATCATATTGACTCCTAAGTGGATTTTTCATCAGACAAATGTTTAACAAGATATACCCAGGAAAAATACTTTCTGTGTATTCAACTTTGAGTTGAACTATAAATTTTTCCTAGTCCTTTCCCGCACACCTTCCTATTTTGAAAATTACAAAAGCAATAGTGCATGGTTAAAATAATTAAAAAAGTATGAAGTGAAGGTTCTTTCAGAACCGCCCCCTCACCAAAGTTCTGCACCCCTTCGTAGAGGAAACCAGTGTTAAGTTGGGTATGTAAACCTGCAGACCTTTTCTCTAAACACTTAACTGTGGAGTTACATGTATGTTTCTTGGGAGGTACGCAAGTACATGATTATGCCCTACACGTTCTATAGCTTTTAATATCATAGGGAAGGTTTGTGTTCCAGGTTAAGTGGAGTTTGACACACACCTTCCTTTTGTTCTCACTGAACACAGCAATAAAACCTGGACAGAATGTATGGCACAACCATTGGAAGACTCAAAGAGGTAAATAGTACCAAGCAGGTGGGGGAGAACACCAGAATTCTGAGTACAACCGAAGTGGTGTGTTTCCCATTTTTGTATTCCTCTGGTGTCTTCCAGCCAGAATGCAGCACAGCCCCAATTGCAGAAGTGAGCACAGTGGTGCAGAGATCCTAGAGAAGCCAGGCTTGTGGAACAAAAACAAGTGCTAGAGCTCAGAAGGAGTGGGGGCGATGCCCTTTCTTTGCTCTCCTTCTCCATTTTTGATGCTAAAGCCCCAGCTAATCCCTTGGCTGCCAGTAGGAGCCTGCAGGAGCCAAGAGTGTGAGGGAAGGGAATTTCTTTTCCATTTGGTAGAGGCGTGGCCAAGGAAGTGGAGCCAAGGCTCAGTTACTGGAGTGGGCTGGAAGTGTTGGGCTAGAGGGCCCAGGAAGTACTGGAGAGAGAGTAGGGACTCCACAAAGTTATTTATGAGCTCTGGCTCACCCCTGACCTGCTCACCTGGTTCACACTGTTCACCCATGAAACTGATTCTAATTAGCATACCAAACATATTTGAGAACTCTGCTGATCGGTAGATCTCTCCCCAGGTCTCCCACTGATCACGAGATGGTGACAGATCCAAGTAGCATTGTAAAGGCTTTGAAAACTGAACTGATGTTAGAATCACCACTCACAGAACTTGTGGCCTGAACCTAACCAGACTGATTACTTGCTAAAACAAAGATATCAACATTCTCCATAGGATTTGCTGGCATCTCCTCATGTAACATTCAAAATGCACAGGATACGATCCCAAATTACCCAGCATATAAAAAGCCATGAAAATAACTCTTAATAGAAAGAAAGATAATATATACCATCACAGACTTTCAAGAAACTCTGATTAAAATATTCCAATGACTAATCACAAACGCGCTTGAAATAAGCATTTAAAGTAGGAATTATTGGGCACCTGGGTGGCTCAGTCGGTTAAGTGTCTGCCTTCAGCTCAGGTCATGATCCCAGAGTCCTGAGATTAAGTCCCACATCAGGCTCCCTGCTCAGTGGGGAGTCTGCTTCTCTGCCCCTCCCCTGGCTCATGCGCATTCTCTCTCTCTCTCTCTCATTCTCTCTCAAGTAAATAAAATCTTTTTAAAAAAAGTAAATAGAAAAATAAAGTAAAAATTATCAGTAAAGAAATAGATGGTAGAAGAACCAAATGAAAATATTGGAATTGAAAAGTACCAAACTGAAATTTTTAAAACCTCACTGGATAGATTTAGTAGCAAAATGGAGATGACAAGAGAAAGATCCAGATCAATACAAATCATCCAATCTGAACAACAAGAAAAGAAGAAAATTTCCAGGATCATGTCATAGAAGTCACAGAATGAGAAGAGA